TTTCTCTCCAAATAAGACTTCCCTAATATAAGAGGAACAACCAGAGACTCCAGGAAGAATGAAGCAGAAGAAGCATTTCTTATCTGAAGCATTACAGGGATGAACCACATTTGCTAAACACTTCCCTGCTGTGTGCTCTGGACGACAGCAGCAGGCAACGCTGTGAAAATTCTCTGTTAACATATAGCAGGGTTGTGAGCCCTGCAGAACATTTTATATACGTACATACACATACACATATATCATTAGATAAATTGTGAGCCATGCAGAAAGACTTGTATTGAAAAGAAAAAAAAATGTAAAGAAAATCAAATGAAAAATCCTTTAAACTCACAGATACTCCCTGTATTTTCCTACTGGCTTTTGTACCAATATCCACAAAGGCCAGTTCTGTAGGAGAGACTCACACACAACCCTGGAGTAACTTAATCTGTTCCCTCTTGGGGCATTTTTTCTCTTGTCTACAAAAATAGGCTAAATGACTGATATGCAACTGCAAACATTGCACCGAGGTGTGAGATCATATCAAGGTGTTTGCACACAGTCTGCTACAAATGCATGCTTGGGAGTTTTATGATCAAGATCACATTTCCCTTTACAGAATCACAGATGATTACGGTTGGAAGGGACCTCTAGAGATTATCTAGTCCAACTCCCCTGCTCCAGCAGGGACCAACATTATAGAATACAGTTTAAAAGTGGGACCTTACTAGAATTTGGACTTTTGTCTCCTGCATGTGCTTGGCTGGTGAAGGGCAGGTATATGCAGTAAAGGCCAAGACAGGAATTCTTAAATAAAAATCTGATTCCTTGGCTGCACAGGCATGTATCCTATGGGAAGGAGATTCCATTTCCAAGGACCCGAAACCATCACTGTTCTGCAAAGCCTCCCTGCAGGTAACACACTCCCGCCTCTTCCAGATTTCCCCTAAAGCTGGGGATTCAGGTCCATTACTCCCTCCTCTTCGGTAATAACAAAAGCAACCAAAATTTTTCTGAAAAGGGATTTTTTTGCTTTGTGCAGAAAAAGTAGAACAACAATGCCTCTGATTCCTTTTCCAACATGTTCTTTTATTCAGTCCTTTGCATTGAGTTCCAAGATCATCTCTTCCTGCCTGGTTTTGTCTCTCTCTCTTACATTAAAGCAGACCCCATTCTTCTGTAGCTTCCAGTTCCCTTCACCATGTGATCTTACCAGCATCTTGAGGCTGGCTACTACACTTTTAAGCCCACACCTGCAGAACAGCTTTCTTGCAACTCAGTCATTCTTTTCAGAAAACACAGTTGCAGCACGTGGACCAGCTCATTTAGCAGGATATACCCGACTTTCATATCCTCGCTGAAGCTTCTTTATGCTGCTCTGCATCACTTAGTACTTGTATACACCCAGTCCTTCTTGGAGATAAGAAGATAGAAGGCCCAGAATAGTCTCACAGAAAAGAGATATTTCACGTTGACTGTGGATGGGAAAGACAATAATGGGCTTATATATAGCAATGAAGATTTCAGTGATCTGTTGACAAATGTTCTAACCACAGAATACTAGAAGAGCTTGGCTGGATACTGACTCAGGGCAGAGAAGCTTACAACTAGATCACCTCTCACAAATCTTTCTGCTTGTATTACCTGTTAAAATGGTGTTTGCAGATTAAGATGCATGAAAAACAGACTAAAGAAAAAATGTGGGGCTGTGCAGCTGCCATCAATGCTTCCTCTGGGAAGCTATGCTACAGTATTTACAAGCAGAAAAGGAAAGAAGATGAGGAGTGATTGCAAAGCCATGCAACCAAATACCTTTCAATTACAGTTTCCTGTTGGTAAAGTGATAGTCATGCCCAGTAAAGAACCAAGCTGTGGTCAGAGGCTCAGGTCAGGATCTGTCAGCTTTGAAAAAAAAATGCCATATCTGTCCATTACTGGGAATAGGTGTGAGGACATTTTGCTGGTAAGACTGAGCTTTCTAGGACAAGCATTGGAATGTCTGTTGTCTCCCGTAATTTTGTTATAAAATACAAGAAGACTGCAATCGTGTAGTTGCCTGACTCCATCAAAGTGACCAAGCCCACCCAAGGTAGAGGGTAGCTGCCTTCCCCTTGCGCTCTAAACCAGGCATGTGAAGAGACGGGGATGAGTTAGGGAAAGCCACCTTGCCCAGAATTACACAGGGCCCGGAGAAGCTAGAGGGGTGCGGACAGGGCCAAATCTCATCCCCGTGGTGCAAGGACTATCATGTTGTAGTTGTCACCCAAGAAGATAGTCATATTATGAACAAAAGGTAAAGACGGCAGTCTGATCCTTACGCTTAGAAAGGGAATACAACCATGTAACGCACACTGCTCATCTGTTCAGATTTACCTGCTTGCTCATTCATCCCCAGCAGTGACATTCTAAGGGTCTTCACACATGCATGGGTGTGATTACAGTTGAAGATGACAAACCACTGAAGGACAGAAAGCATCTCTGTGCTAAGCCAAGCCCCCTAACTCTGTGCTTTGTGGGCAGACTCCCAACAGCCTTCCCTTACACAACTGTACCAGCCACGCTTGCTTTCTGCCTGTGATCAGGGTGAAAATGCCATTTCTCCTCACAAACCAACTCTGACTCCCAACACCAGGTCTTAGGAGCAAACACATGCTTGGGAGTGAAGGAGAAAATGTCAAGCTCTCCTATTTTGTACCACATACTGCAGGGCAGGAGGGCTGCTCTCCACGGCTAGGAAACCTGGCTAAGGCCCAACCACGCAGCAGTGGGCGCAGGCTCAGGGAGCCAGTGTGTGTCCTGCGTGGGGCAGCACCCCCCGCCACAGCCTCAGCCACATCCTTGGGTAAAGAAACGCCCAGTGGTGCCCACAACACCGCGCCCGAGCGATGCGCCCCGCAGGCCGGCTCCGGGAGAGAGCTCTCCTCGGCCTACTCAAGGATTTAAAAATACCGTGCCCCTTGGCAACCTCCAGCAGTGCTTTCCTGTGGGCAGATCAGGACTAGGAATCGGGGCCCCAGCTTTCAGTTCCTCTCTGCAGACTGCAGATCACTTCAGACAGCAGTGAGGAGGCAGGTGCGTTAGTTAAGATGTCTAGAAGCCTATTCAGGAGGGAAAAAAATTAAACCTGTTTTTTTCCATGTTGTTCTTGTTAACATCGTTTCCATGCAGAAGGATGTTCGTAATCCTTGATGCAAAGTCTTTGTGCTTTTAAGATGTCACAGACTGCATTAGGCTGTTTTCAGTGAGCAAAATGTAAAACCAAATGAAGTGAGGATAAGAGCTACGAGTTGATCTTCTCTTCCACTCCTCTTGTAGCACTAACTGCCAGAAAAACAAAAATATTCCTGGCTGCTAAAGCACTGAACTGTTGCTGGAATAATATCTATATAGTGCTATCATTCTGCACACTTAAAGCCACAAAACCCACAACCGGTATGAAACTAATTCTGCTCCATGCCTTACTTTCAAGATCTGGCTTGGAGGTGATTAATAATTTTTACTAAACTAATTGCAGAGCATTTTCCAGGGTCTGCACAGGGATGAGGCTCAGGGGAAAAAGAGATCTCGAGTCAGGGCAGGACATTATTCCAAGAACAAAATATTTCCGGTCCTGCTACCGTGCACACAGTCCTCGGCCATAAGTCTTTGCAATTGAGGCGAGAATTTAACAGTAGAAACTTTCTGTTTAGCTCAAGTGAACCACAGCTGCCCAAGCTGGGAAGCCAACAAGGCCAGCAGCCCAACAAACATGAGTCAAATAAGCCAATGCAGATGCTTAAGGGAATGGGACTCCCTAGTAGTTCCTCTTAACATTTTTTCCTCCTGTTTTTCCCTCCCAAATGAACACAGAAGAGATTTTGTCTTTAAAGAACCATTTTAATAATGCCATACAAATTCAAAAGGAGCAACCTGACAGATTGTTAAAATATTTAATTTAAATCATTGTCTCAATGTTTTTTGCTTTACATCTCACCAAGGAGTTTTCATGATTGACTTTAAAACCATGAGAATCAAAACAGAAGAGCTTCGGACTGTTACAGAAAGCCAGCTTTCCCGACAGTGATTCTGCATCTTTGCGAATATCAGGCACCTACAGAGATCATTAATTTACTGGAAAATAAAACATAAAATGTCAAAAAGTGACTAAAAAAAGAATCTAATGCTTGACTTAAAACCTTCAGCTTTCAGGGCTCTGGCCTATGAAAAACAGGCATTCGAGTCCATTATTAAAAGTAACATAGGCACAAAAAAGTTTACAAATGCCATTTTAAAATGACTCATTTTAAAGCCATTATATACAGCAGGCAAGTTAATCAGTCTATGGTCCAACCAAGAGAGCCTAAGTCTTACCTAAGTTCTTGAACCTATTAGTCGACTCTTAAGACTTCAGAGATAACAGAGGAGCAGCAGTAAATTGGCTCAGAAATGTGAGCATCACCCAGCAGCATCTCAGGAAGGGCTGCACAACTGTGACCACAGGCCCCAATATCCACATTGCTGCTGTTTAGACCAGCTTGCACGTGAGTGCTCTCCCCCTCAGAAGTAACTGACTCAAAATTTTCAATGGTCACTCGCACAGCAGCCCAAAAGAGATGAGATCCACTCAACATTAGCAGCAAGTCAGTGCAGACTAAAACAACACTGACACTAACCAGATATTAGAAGCTGTCTGAAAACACTGGCTGCTCTAAGGCTGCAGGCATGAGCAAACTGCAAGGTAGCAGGGCTGTGCACCTCTTAGTACACTGCTCTCCAGTGCCAAAACAGGATCAATAAAGTGTGATGCAAGCACAGTATACGGGGCTACATTTTTAATAGACCTTGATGCCAACATTATCTTTCACCTGGGTTCTGTTTCACATTCCAAGGTCAACTTTAAATCTACAGCTTCAAATTTTTTTTAAGAGAATTTCTGTATTTAACTCTTGCTAGTTTAAAAACAAGGGAAAAAAAGGAAGTCTTTTATGAGTTTTAAAACCTTCTTCAGTGCAACAACTTACTGATTAATGCTGACTTTTTTTAAAAAAGGGAAGCCCAGTTGGGGAAAGACCAAGGAAATACTCGCATCATTCTAGATGGTTCTGCCCCGCGTCTCTCACGAAGAGCAGCGGGGCATCGCTGGCACGCGGCGTGGTTGCGTTGAGAACAGGCGTCTCTACAAACTCTATCTCGCACACCCGCGTGCTGCAGGGAGACCGCTCCAGCTCCAACACCGTTATGTTGTTTGGCTCCGAGGAAACAAGGATATTGCTTGGAACAAAAAGGGTTAACTGAGGACCACGGGCAGGCCAGTAGCGACCGAGATTAAAGCCATTGATCCAAATCTGCCCCTGTTAAAAGAAGAAAATAAAAACATAATCAAGTTTTAATAATTTGACAGTGATCTTTTGACCATATAGCTTTATCAAGTATAACACTCCTTGCAAAGTAACTGAATTTTCTTGATCTCTCAGTTTGACAGAAATAAACATCAGGCTCAAAAATACGTGCAAGAAAATAATACAAACCATCAAACAAATAAGAATTCTTTCATAAGCGAAAATCACTGTCAATATTTAGAACTGGCATGGCCAAATAAAGCAGTCATTTCAAATATGGCAATATTTAGGAAAATAAAATAGCAGGCTCCTGTCATTGAATTTTGCATTAAGTTTCAGAACAAACAAACCTGAACACTGTGGCAGCTTGAAGCTGATTGCTAAAAGAAGAAAGAAGACACAAAAACAGGGGCAAATCTTAAATCTGTGTTGTGTGGGGTTTTTTTCTTTTTCTTTTTTGTAAAATTATAAGACCTCACTAGCTTGGTAGCCCCTTCCTGTTTTACAACTTCATGAAAAAGATGCACTGCTTGTTGAAATGTGAAATGTGAATTTCAAGTGCTTATTGTAATCAGATGCTTGGACAACAAAAGAACTTGCAAAACTGCACTACAAGAGAGTACTGTATTTTGTTTTATTTACTTTTGGCTATTAAAATCCTGGGCTTTTCTGTCATGAATTTCAATAAAATTGTTGTTAACTTGAGATGCAAACTTTTAAAAATGACTTTTTATAATAGAGGTAGTGAGAATCTCTTAGTCCAAGACACTTATCAAACATTATAATAACATAGTTTAAAAATAAAGCAAAATTGGGCAAGTAAACAAACAAACAAAGTCATTTATAGACCAGAAAGTGGATACATTGAAGTGTCACAAGCATATACTTTCCCAACAGTCTTTAAACTGGTAACTGCAGGAATTTCGGAAGAAAATTGTAAATGAATTCATACCAAGTCAAGCTGAATCTTGGTTCATTAAACAAGGCTTAAGAGAGGATATATGGCTGGTTTGAACAAATAATTTGCTTATGCTCCTCACAAGCTTCCTTTCTACCACATGCCAGAAAGTTAAGATTTCATTAGACAAGTAAAGAGATGGGAACAAGAAAGTTCATCTATGTTTTCCTCTTGCTTTGTTCTTTAGTAATTCGATATAGAAGAAAAATAAACAAATTAGTGGCACTGACATATACTGGTACAGACAATAAAACTGTTTGAGTCACTGGAAAGTGAGAAATCTTACTGTATTCTTGATGACTTCTAAATTTGTCTAGGATAGCTAAAACTGCAATAATATTTTTAAGGACTTACAGAAGCACTGGTAGCATACTGAATATAACCTTTTAAGATGTATGAAGGGCTTTTTTCTTGCCTTTTCAAGTATTTCAAAATACAAAATTTTAGGGAATTTGCAAGATAATTTTATAAAGAGTTGGTAAATTTGCAATGCAGGTGGTTATTATAGCTCTCTATCCACTTCCTTGCTGTAAGATCCTATCTTGCACAGTACACCAAGGTGTTAATAAACGTCAACCTCAAACTTTTTTGTAATCAAATTTATCTTGCTTTGTGGCTTGTTTTTGCAGGATTAAAAAGAAAAAAAGAACTGTTTATTCAACCTCACTATTCTGCACTAGTTTTAGGAGAAAAGATGACATTAATCCAAGATCCCTCCAACAAGTAAAATGAATAAGTGAGTGGACCATAAGTCCCAGCCCTACATAAAGTAGGAGTTTCGCATAGGAATTGGCTGTGTTACAGTTATAACGCAGGAGCCAAGATCAGTTAAGTGTCTACTTCTGATCTTAATCAGTCACTGGCTCATTTTTCTAAGAAAGCTATGAACTTAAATTCTCAAATCCAAACTGTCCTTACTGCAATTTCTAAACACTGCATACTTAAAAAATCACATGTCCAAAATCCAGCAAAACACATCCTACATACAGCCAATAAACCTACTTCAGACAACAACGAGAAGCTGTTTTCTTTATCAGGGTCTATCAAGATCAGCAAGTTAATCCATGATTCCAGAGGAGTCGAGAAAATAATAGTCAAAAATATCCAAAATAGTCAAAGAAAAAAAATCCAGTAAACCCAGCCAATAAACATAACTACACTTGCAAGGGCAGGCCCCCTTAAAGACACTGTGCTTCCTCAATGACAGTGGAAGACATTTTGTTAGTAATGAAGGCTTCAAAAACCCCTCATGTAAATAGTCTTCAACATAGCTCATGACTATTAATCCTGCACCCATGCTGTTGGCTCCAGCATATCATCTTCCTTGCCTTAACATGCTGAGGTAGGATCAACATTACAGCTGCACGTTTTTTTCTAATAAGTGTTGTTTCTTTACTTCTCCAAGTTCTCTGTTTTAACTCCAGTTAAGAGTTTCCTTCCTCACCTTGACATCAACAATTTATACAACAATTTATTCAATTTATACTCAAGGAATTAGGACCCAAATCCAATGGGATCTGAGTGGGATTTAAACTCTTACTGCCCTCTGGTTTACAGCTACTTATGCATTGGTGAAGTTATCTGGAAGTCTCATTTTCTGCTTGCCTCCCTGCCCTGTACCCAGCATCATGTCAGTCTTACCACTGTTGGGTATCTTGTTATTTAAAGTTGTGGTCCAGTCCACATCTCCATTATCTTTTAAGTCCTGAAGGATCACTCAGCAGTCTTACAGTATACCTGGAATCTCCTCACCTGGGCTTCTTTAGAGGGTCAGATAAAAGGTAAAATAGAGGTCATTATTTTCAACAGATCAAAGGAAGAGATTCCCATCTATACAGAAGACTTACTGGATTTATTTCCCCTTTCAAAGCAGACTTTGCCAGCAGGAAGGTATGCTCAATCTCTCCTGAAGGATGTCACTACTCAAAAAGAATTTGGGATTCACTGGGTGAAATAATTTATTTCAGAAGTCCTAGATTCTGGTCTCTGTGCAAGGGACTATTTTTGGATTTTATTCAGTGACTGTATCAGATACGGGAACAAGGACCAAAACCTTCACTTCCTCATACTCACTGCTGGTAACACTGAATGCTAACAATGAATCAGGGTCTCCTTCATAATAGGAAGTGCTCTAAAGACTAGATATAGTTTATAGATCACCACCTCTTCCTTTGCCTCCTCTATTTTGATAACTATAAGCTGAAAAACTGCTTCAGAAAGGACTAGCTTAGCCCCCCAACTGCAACACAGGAACTTCCCTGAAGCCGAGAGCTGAATATCATTCCAAAAGGAGGGACACTTCAATGCATACGTTAGCCTCTCACAAACTAGTTGAGCTGGTTCAAACCTAGCACTGCAAAAACACACTCTCTCTTCTGCTCTAGTCATGCCAAAACTTTTTCAGAAGTTCCTACTAACAGAGATCTGCCTACAAGATTCTCACGACGAGCTTTTTGATGCTTTCAGTACACTTCTGGGTAACCTCCAGAAGAAAGGCAATAATATCTTCCAAACACTGCACCCACATTTAGAGGCACCACACTAGCACTTGTAGCTTAATTCTCCCTATGATTTGGAACAGGATCCATAGATCCTCATCCAGCCCTACCAATGTTTTCTTAATTACCTTTAAAAAAACCTGCATAACCAGGAAAATGGCCTTTAGTATCTCACTTGTACCAGAATAAAAATTATTTTATCTTAAGACTAATCCTTGTGGCTCTCCCATTTCTAGATCAACACCATACACATTTCAAATGTATGTTTCCCTCTTAATGGATTATCTCCAGATTTACTTAAAACAAGTAACCCATTCTCCAGTCATTTAACTATTGTTGCACCTCAAAACTACAACCTGCTTCTGCTGATGCAAGAGGTATAGACTTCCACCCTTCACATGAGTTTCAGTAGCTTTTTGAGTGGAATTCATGTTTTTACCGCAAAAAGTTGTACCTTTGTCCAGCCAGGAAACTTGACGTAGGTATCTTGAGGCAAATCTGGAATCCCACCAGGAATTGAAAGTTTACCAGTGTAAAATGTGGGTGCTTCATAACTTGATGGATTACCAAGAGATGTCGGTAGTTGCTCAGACTGGCCATTGATGTCATGGTTCACTGCTCCATCTACGTCTAGAGGATAGATTTCCCATTCAACGAGTATATCTTGATCAAGAGTTAAATTTGAAACTAGACCCTAGGAGGAGGGGAAAAAGACACAAACAAATAAACAAAAAATAACTGTCCATCTGGGTATGAAAAACACAGAGCATCTGCTCTTCCCTAAAGTATAAAATTTGCTTAAGAAGGTAAGGTTTTATTTATTCTCTGTGAAAGATCTGCTCCTCTTCAAAGTTTCAGGTTTTTTGCTTATGTCCAAGTTTCTTTCTCAAACTTTTTTTTTCTTATAGCTGTGAAGGTTTCTATTTTTCTTAAACCTGAAGACATGATACTAAAAGCTGAGGCTTAATAAAAAGCAGAAAAGACACTATATACCTTACGTCATGAGATACAATCAAAAGATTTGGTAATACTGAGTCACTAACCCAAGCCATTAACCTTCACAATAGCAGAGAAAGCAGCATTTACTTCCTAAAAATCTATTACAGCTAACACACAGTATCAAAAAATCAGGTCTTCAAGGCAAATACTTCATGGCTCAGATTAACCAAAATACTTTAAGTTTACAGTCAGTTGTAATTTTACAGTCAGCCCACAGTCTTGTTTCATTTCTATGGAACTGTGTACACCCTTGAAGCACATCGGGGTACCCACACAGTGAGTTAAAGGCAAGATAAGGCCATGAACTAAAAATGAAAAAAAAAAAACCAAAAGTCATTCTACAAGTAAGTGCAACAACAAGCAACATGTTTTCCATGGTCTTGGAGAGCTGACGCTGTGTCATACATCTCTCCTGCAACGTCTCATCCGAATTGCACTGACTTCACAAGTCTGCTCAGCATGAGCTGGTGAGCGTGAGTGCTAACACGAATTCTTCTTTTACCTAAATGCCCATTTCAAAGATAGGAACTTATTTTTCTTACATCAGATTGCAATATCTGCACCGAGTTTAAACAGTAAAATGTTCTTGCAGATCCTAAACTTCACTTTGCTTGGCAATCAGCTGAAGTAATGCAACCAAACTTTGACTAAAACTTGCTAACTCCCTCTCTATGCCTGTCTTTAAGAATGGCGTGATTTTCAAATGAGATCTCAAGTGCCTAATGACTATTCTTACTTGTATTTCTATCTGAATGCATGTTCAAAGGTGCCAATGCGGAGATGAATCTTCCAAATGACAGAAAGATACAGGTGGCAGTAAGTATGTTAAAAAGAAAAAAAAAAAAAGAATAAAAACCACATTCTTCCTTCCTTTGTGTCCCTCAACAACAAGACTTAGATCAGCAGTGTTTTAAAACCAAAAACCCTTTCAACATTCTTTCCCCAAAGCTAGATGGTCCATTTCAAACTTGAATAAAAAAGTGAGATAAAAAACAGTGAAAGAAAACCCAAACGAGCTATCATGCTTGATTAAGTATGATACAAGCCCATACGAGCTTAAAAATGCAGCATTTCAAAAATAACTTTAGGGCAGAGTATCCTATCTTGCAAAGCTGCAACTTGTGTAAAAACTCTAAAAAACAAGGCATAGTTATTTCTAGTTTCAAAGTCAACACAAAGAATACCTGCCTTAAGGAAGAGCGCGAGACATTCAATGTAAAGGAGCCACACACATTTTCAGAAGCTACTTGAGAAAGACTCGCTCCTCTGTCTGCAGGGATCCTGCTTTAAGAGGACTGTTCTCAGTGTGCACGAGCCTAACTAAACTTGCTTTCATTCTTAATATTTACAGGCTGAATACTGGCATAAGTGTGAATTTCAACTCAACCACAGCAACAACCAGCACCCACCTGATCCAACCTCGACCCTACTCATTTAGCACTCAGCACACATGTTTCCTTATCACCTGGGTGCTTCCTCCTACACATCACAAGATATATTTGAGCTGAATCTGAGGGCAAAATACTGCTGAACTAGGTGCCCTCTCTCAACACTCAAGTAAAAGGCAAGGCTGTCTTGTAAAGACAGCACAGACAGCATCAGCATTAATGTTGTCCACTAGTTTTATATGCCACAAGTACAGTGAAGACTCAGCTGCTGAGCAACTCATGAGCAGTGCTCCTCTTCCTCTTAAAAAAAAATACAGAGCACTCAGAATCCCAATATGTCTAAAATGAGCAAAATTTCCCTTTTGCCCCTGCCCTTCCCAGTGTTACTTTGCTGGCATTACTGCTTATGAGCATCGGTGACAGTTCCCAAGTGCAGTGTGGATTCAGAAGCGTCCAGAGGCTTCCTGTTAGCTATTCCTAATGTCTCAGCTAGGATCTTTGCACACTAGAGCACTTGTGAGACAGCCTGAAAATTTTGCAGGGGTACACTGCAGATAAATGAAATTGGATACAGAGGTATGTATGTTTGTGTATATGTGCATATACACAAACAAACAAATAAACCCCCAAGATTCACCCCCAAGCCTCAAAGTAAGGACAAGATATAAGTGGAGTTCCAGACTCTTTTTGAGTTTATTCTAGCAGCTTTGCACATCTTAAGATGTTGGCTACATGTGCAATTCATCCTGAAAGTCTTGTGGGAGACACTCTGGCTGGCAGCACAAGCGAACCAACAAAAAGAAATTAGAAGACGTCTGTATGTTTTTAATTCCACTTTGATTTCAGTGACTCAAATGAAACTAGTGAGTTGTTAGATATTGAAGTAAAGTTACAGCTGTGTAATCGTGATCCTTTTGCTCTTTCCAACCCAATACTTTCTTTTTAACCTGTCAAAGGGAAAAAGGAGGGCAGGGAGAAGCTGGGGAAAAGGTGTCTATGGCTTAACTGGCTTTACTTACCTTAAAGTCATTATTGAATCGACCAAAGTTCACTCGGCCCATATTCTCTACCAAGATGTCCAGATTGGCTCCAGCCTTCCCAGTGATATTTATTGTAAGTGATACACCCCTTTCAAGGACACCCTGAGGAACCTGAATGAATTATACCAAAAATAAGAAAGCAGTAACCATTGAAAAATGACAACAACCTGCTCTTACTTTTCAGCTTACATGAAGGTTTTACACACAGTTATGCAAATCTGCACAGATCAAAGAATAAAAGCTAGGCTATCAAAATCCGTGAACTGATACTGATTTTTATTAAGCAAGAACAAAACCTTGCTCAAGGAAAGAAAGGTAAAATTTCTTCTTTAATTTGTGGTCAGAAGCCAGTTTCATAAAGTAAGACGTAAGCTCAGGCTTCCACTTCCCCTTACTCTCAAAGGAAAAAAGAAAAAGAAAAAAAAATCAATGGAAACATCGTAGAAAGTATCATAAACATATTTTATGAACCTGCAAGTAAGCCCTTCTTCTAGGTATTTTTCCACTGAAGTCACGAGCCTACATTAATATTCAAATATTTCAAAAGTGGAAACTATTACATTTTCCTTAGAAGTGATACATACTCTTATTTTCTGAAATACGTATTAACACGCTTAATATGACTCAGTTGTAGTTCCTTCATCTTTTTTAATGTGATCATTTAGTACAGCTATTTTGGTAAGCTGGAAAGAGGAGGAGAATCAAGAAAAAAAAGGCAGACTGCAACCATTTGGTGAAGACCGTCGGTGGCAGAAATGGATAGCAGAAGACAATGTTTACCCCATCCACAGAGACGTAGGCACGATCGTGGACTCCATTTAAAGGTGAAGCAAGTTGTGTTGGCTCTGTACAATTTTTCGGAAGCACAGTTCTGTACAGTACAAACCCAAAATACTAGGAAAGAGGGTAAGAAATTAAAAAAAAAAAAAAGAGAGAGAAGATTCATTAATCAGGTTAACCTGCAGCTTCAATTCAGGTCATGACTTAGAAATATTCTACATTCCTGCCTACATACTCTGACTGAAACATTAGCTTTCGTTCACTTCAGATAGCATTTATCAGAGATAGCAGTTTGAGATTAAATATTACTTTGACTTTTAGATGAGTGAAAATTTTCAAAAGTTCCATTTTTAAATCTTTCATCTGTACAACTACATGACCTTAAAAGATAAGGACATCGGCTAGGAAGGCATTTCCACAATGAAAGCAAAACAGTTAATTATCTGCAACACTGAGTTCTTCATTTAAAACACTGAAAGAAATACTTGGAAAATCCCTCCATAACTGAATTTATGTAATAAACTTAGTAGTCACCCACTGCACCCAAATTGACATATTAGTCAAGTAGATTATCTCTTTTACAAACTAGCTGATTTACATCAGGAGAATTTTAGAAGATTTTTCACCAAGTTCCCCAGTAGGAAAAAAAAAAGATAAAAAGATAAAAAGATTTAGATTTGTTCTTATCACAAGTGAAACACAAATTAAAAACCAAGCAAAAAATGCACTGTCTCTTTCACCCAGTAGCCACAAAATCATTTATCTGTTAGATTTGGATTTTAGCATGGCCCTGACAGGAAGAAGTGAGAGTAAACTAGTTCCTGCCCTCTGTAATTACTAGCATCACTTGCAACAAGGTTCACGGAAAATGGAGGTGGGAGACAGTAGGGAGAAGGAAAAGTGCAAAGGTGCGGGAAGCTCCACTGGCTGCCCTCTTTTCTCAGGAGTTTTCCTACGCAAGATTCTATAAAATGTGAAGGCCGCAGGATAACCAGTGAATTTTCTACTTGAAAAACACCTTGTAAAATATCTGGGGCATCAGCTCAACTGCTTCCCCCCTTTCTCCCTCCCCCAGCTACTGCCACTATCACGTCCCCTGGGAGTAGCTTATTTTAGCCACAGGCAAATAGCACCCATGCACCAGCCTGTGCTAAGCTGAGCACAGAGGTGGTCATGTGTCCTTAATGGAAAGAGTCACAGAGCCACGAAGGGAAGATCTTTCACTGCAGGGGAAGCTATTGAAAGTCACCACAACTGCCAAGAAATTGATGTGGAAAGAGAGGAGCAAAGACGATAGAAGGGAATTCAGGGGAAGCCAGAGCAAAATGGAGAAAATGGCAAATGGAAAAAGTCCTGAAAACCTCCACAACACTATATCTACATGTGCAGAGATATGGTATGAGACACTGAACATGACAGGAGTCACACCATGGAGTGCTGTTCAAATGAACTTCACGAAATGACTGCAAAGGCCTACCCAAAGAATCCTTACCTGCTTTAGTTGAACAAAAGTCAACGGGTAAGTGCTTTTTACTGGTCCAGCAGATGAGAGTTTGTTAAGAACCTCCACCACAGTACCAACCTACAGCACAGAAAAAGCAGATGTGTAGGTCAGTAAACTCAGAAAGTAGCTTGCACATCAGGCCACCTGGACAGCTGGCTGTATTTGTCAAAAGGGAAAGCAAAGACAACTGAAGTCCTTAGGTCACCTTTATATACATTGAGATACTTCAATAATCTGCAATAATAGAGCACAGGGAACTGATGAAATCTGAAGAAAACATGCTGCCTATAGAGGAATGCTTTAAAAAACAAAACAAAACAAACCCAGATCTTTTAAGTTTGCTTTGCATTCATACATAATAAAGCATCACTTAATTTTTAATGAGAACAAACCCAGGAGTTTTTCACAAAAGTTCTACAAGAAAGCATTATGAGCAATTAAGATAAAATAACTGTATTATCCAGATTCCACTCAGGCTACTTAAACCAAGCTAGTGAAAATTTCCATACTACTTTCACCTATTATATTTTCATCTATTTCAGACTTCTTTATACTGTACTTAGATATATAAATATTTGGACTGGTTTTAGTGAGATGGACAGCATGATTTAGGCTATTTACAGGCTTAAATATCCTGCTGAAAAGACTTACATATGGCTGTAAGAAGATTTCTCTTCACCTACAATTATTCCAGAAACTCAGCTATCAATTTTGTATGTTAATAAAGATGTGCACAATATGCACAGTACCCCCCAAGCTCAAAAATCAGCTGTATTTGTACTATAAAACTTATTTAAGCTGTATTTTTCATGAAAGATCTTGGCTTATTTCACAAAAAGCACTGCTGCTGCTCAGTGGTAATTACACAGGAGATGTTCAAATATCCCAAACCCAGACTGGCTTTTGAATACCTTCTTAGGAAAAAAACAAAGTAATAAAGAAGAAAACTATAGGCTTTTAAAAATAGCATAAAAACATATAATCCAAGAGCATTGTCAAACAAAATAACTTCCTCATCAGACTGCTTCAATAACGGAAGTATTGAGTTTTTGCACAACATACTCAAAAATGAGAAGTGCTGAAATATGAAGACAATCCTGTGTGAAATGCTTTCTATGGGTAACAGAAGCCATCAACAATCATCCATGTACACGCCATTTTTTCTTCAGCATGTACAAATAAAGGTCATGTTGTTTCTCTTGCAAGAGTATTATTTCAATAACTGTCCACTCTAAACAGAGAGCAAGGTACCACATCATATCCACCAGAATCTCCTTTGCACAGCCTGCAAGCTCATGGAAGACCATGATAAACCCTTCCCTTCATCTACACATTTTTTTTTGAGCAAACATCCACTATATTCTGACTACCAATATCCATGTAGCACTAGGTGGTCACTGTGCACCACCTGGTATAGTGGCCCACCTGTCCCCGAAACCCTTCCATGATCAGGACAGGGCAGGACAGCATCCACTTACCGCCTGCTTCCATGGTACCAGGGGAAGAGCACACCCTTCCTTTCCCACAACAGCACTTATTTTGCCTCACCACCACGTGCAACTTTGCTCATCTGTCGTGCCGTTTGCAGATGTTGAGATCAACAGACCAAAACATGGCCCAGCATCTACCTCTCTTCCCATGCAGGATACCAAAGACACTAAAAATTATCTGGGGTATTGGAAAAGCAGTAGGAAGTTCTTGGAGGAAACACAACCTACATTTTCAATGTAAGAACTACACCTAAAATAATTGCTTTTCAGAGAGTGAAATTTCCCAAGTGCTCTGGGCTGCTGCTCTGCTCCCTTCCTCGTGCTCTGCTCCTCCAAAGGAGCTGGTAACGCTAAATTGCAGTGCAGGACTGCTAGCCCCTGGTAAGACCGAACTGCAGGGCCCTGTACTGCAGGCTGCAAAGCCAGAGATGAGCACCACAGACCCTGATGGAGCGTACCACTCTAAATTTGATAGCATGACTGACGTTTTTTCTGCATCATGTACATACAAAAAAAAAAAAAAAAAAGCACGCACACATCTCACATCTGTTCTTGCTGCAATTTCCTGTTTATTACTTAGTGGACAATTGTTATCACAACAAAAACCTTGCAGTAGATTTAAAAAATACAAATACAATAAAGAATTTTTCAAAACCATCTGTAAACAGCATGATCTGATGACTACTTGCAAACAGTAACAAGGAAATCAAAGTATACGGTCCAGCCTCCTGTTTGCTGAAGCCCATTCTTGCCTCCACCTCTTCTTGCCCATATGGTTTCACAGATGAACATATGTCAAAATTGCCAGTCACTTGCTATTGCTGAAGCTCTCTACACCCCAAGAACTGATGACAGCTCCAGAATCTGCAGCTTACACTCATGATCAAGCAATCTTCAGGGTCCTCTAAGTGATGAGCTAAAACTACCACCTGGTCACAAGCCTGCACAGCCACATAAACATCCTGCAGACACCAAAACTCATTTGTTTGCCTCTGAAAAAGACGTTCCCTGCATTCTGGGCCTTAAACCCCATCCATTGTTCACATTTCTTGATGCAAACTATTGCTGTTCTGCCTTTGCCTGCCCCTTCAACACTTCTCTTTTGCATCTCTGCAACAAGATGCTTCCTTATGGCTTGCTTCCCTGGCCTCTACTGGAGCAAGGTTAGTGTGCCTAGGCCAGTTTTAATGAATTCTCTCTCTTCCCCCTGCCACGCAGAGATTTCTCCTTTAAAATCATTCAATAACTCAAAATGAACCCCTGTCTGACCAGGGGACTGTTGTTTTTTTTTAACTATACTGGGTTCCCCAATTATACTCAAGTAGAGCGACTTGAGTTGGCCCCTGAGTGCACAGTGAAACTTCCTGGTACCTGTTATATACTATGTGCTATGGTAACTGTTATAGCCCTGTCACTGCAAATGTTACAGCTACGAAGATTATGATTACAGAAGGTGAGCTCTTGTAATATTTCCTCCCTAATATTCACTTACACACCTTTAGGTTTCTCCTAATAAAGTGCACAGGACAAACAAACGTTACCTTCTCACAACAGGGACCAAAATGCAATGTGGAGTTAGGAGAACTGTTCTGGCAGGAGCAGATAGTACAAACCTCTGTGATTTTAGGTTACACTGCACTCATGATACAGAGCAATGAAGCAGAGCACCTGAAATAAACAACGGGTTCATAGAACAGAGAGCGGCTCTCTTCCCAGAAAATAATCTAGAGGCTTTTGGTGCAGATGGCAGTATCTGTACAGGCAAGGATAGGAAACTCACATCTGCCAGTATAGACAGGCCATCTCACTTGCTAAAGCTGCTGGGTACAGAGTAAAACATGTCCTCTCAAATAACAAGAAACCCTGCAGGAACAGGGTTTCCACTGTGATGACCACTCCAAAGCTGTTCTCACCTCTCCTTTCTGAAAAGCTTTCTGGGCCAGACATACTTCAGTTTTCATTTTTTGCAGGCATGAAGGTTCATCATTCCAGGGAAATGGCACAGCCCTATCTGAGAGGCATGAACTGCGAGAAAATGGAGAGTCAGAATCTGACTGCAAAGTCCCTGAGTGACTGCAACTCCCACCTGTGATAGCAGCAGAAACAGCAGGTGTACTGATAACGATGTATAATTAGTCACTACCAGATATAAACCAGTTCAGTGCAATTTCACACGGAAAGTTCTTGCCTGAAATGTCTGAAGGTCCTGAAGGATTGATGAAAATGATACAGATCTTTGTCATCTTCTGTGGTGAATCACCATTATGAAAAATTGATTCCTGCCCACCAGTTGAGTGGGATGGCTTAACGGCTGCAAAACCTTATCACTACCAAATTGTGCAACACTGGCTGCAGTGGCATGATAGATCAGATATACAACTGACTGAAAAGGTGGCTGGCTCAAAATGTAAAATACAACGTATAAATTAGAATACCCGGTACACTGCCTACAGCAATCCTCCACGTCAAGGCAACTCTGTGAGCAGCACGATGAATGAGGCTAAGTTCATACCAGCCTATCTCTTGCATCTCCTAAGCCTTCCTCTCTGCTCACTGCAATAATCTGGTTCTCAGCCATATATCACAGAAAACTCTCAATGGCCCTAAAATGACAGTGCTACAGACAGACCCCAGCTATTCATGTGCTGACCAGCTATCTGACTGCTGCCAAACAGGCTGGATTCTGCATGCTTTTCCTTTCAGTAGGAAAGTCACTTAATTTCTCTCATCAGTTGCACATCTTCATAAATCCTGCAAGAAGCTACATCACTGAGACTTTATTTAAAATGATCCATATTCAAAACTTACAGCAGCTGGTACTATTTACTTAAAAGATACATGTCCTACGTGCCTTTTCCCTTTCAGAGGCACCACCAGCTACAGTAGCACTCTTTGCTCTTACCTCTTGTGCTAGAGTTCCCTGAGCTACATTATTTATACGAGTTACCTCAGTTATGCAAATGAATTTTAGCATTGTGAAAATACAGCATTTCCATTTAGTAAAACTTTGCAAACATACAGCATGTTGTAAAATTATCTTTTATTTCCAGATAACAAATATTTGCTTTTTTTCCATCATAGGCATGATCTTAGCTCTCAAACGCTATGGCCTCCTTCATGAACGTTTGCTTTCAAGCATTTCCCCTCTGTTTTGCGTGTCAGCTAGAGGCTGACACTACACCCTCAAATATTTCTTGCAAAAATCAAACATGCAACACTACAGAAAGATATGCCTATTAGATTACAAATGCTAATTTACCTTCTGCAAGCGAATCTTCCCATAAGCAAATTTGGGTGTTGTTGGAGGGATAAGGCCTTCTGGTAACTGGTTATACTAGAAAGGTAAGAAAGGAGAAAAAAAAAAAAACACGTGAAACAAACATATTTGCAAATTCTCACTTTCTGCTTCACAACTTACAAAAGTTGAACTTTGGCTGAAAGTAGATACTCACACAATGTTAATCCGTTACACCAGTGCCTAGGCTCAGAAGCAGAGTGTAAGAAAGAAATCTGATTAGACTACATATGGTAAATGTAGATTTTAATAAATGCTTAACTCGAGTCCTTGGAGCCCTCCTGCGGCCGCCGTTTGCATTGCTGTCTGCCTGCAGCCTCCCGGCATCAGCCCTCAAGTCAGGGGAGCTTCAGCTCAACCACGCCAAGGGCAGGACTTCCATGTGACCCCCCTACCCTGCCTTGGCCGCGCTTCCCTATGGGAATTATTAGCTTCTCATGCCTTCCTTCCCGGCCCAGGGCTACGGCTTGCTGCCTCCCCACAAAACCTGCTAATCCCTTGCTGCTGCCTAGGCTGGCTTCTTCTAGAAGCAGCTGGGAAAGCCTCCCAGTGAGGGGGAATAACTGAGGGGTGAAGGGTGTCCGTCAGCTCTTGGACACCTTCACGTTGAGTTTACGTAGGACCACCCTCGCTGAACTCCAAGCCCCTCATTCCCGAGCCTCCAACCTCCTTATCTTCTTGCCACACCAAACCCTCTCCTCTTTCCTCCCACTGCTGGTCCCCAGCTTTCAGCTCAGACTTCCCTTTGATCTTTCATTTCCTGCACATGGCCCTGTCTATGCACTATAGAGAAAAAGGTTTTGCAGGCAAGAAACCTATGTGATCGAGCTGTCTAAGGCTACTTTTGGATATATGTGCACAAGTGATCCCACCTGGTTATCTTAATCTGCACATTTGGTCACTTTAAATGATAAATTTGGTAATCCTTAGGGCTTTTTTTTTTAAATAAATTTGGGAGGTGCTGAAGGGCCATTTCTCTTGGGGGTTTTGTTGGACTTATCTGGCATAAAACTCATATTCAAAAGCTGCCTCTGCATCAGAAGATTTTTTTTTGGTTGGTTGGTTGGTTGGTCTCTATTTTATTTTTTAAACAGATTAGAGTAGTGCAATTCCCACTGCTTCTCTGTCAACTCTCAACCACAGGCTGAGAAAAACCTGATTCATATTCCTGGGTAACGAGTTCATTTGTATTTCTGCTTTTGAAAATACTCCATTTTTTGAAGAAGGCTTTAAAGAAAAAAAAGAAAAAGAAAAACTATATTCACCCAGAGGAAGAAATAAGAAGTAGAAAGTTTCAGCCCTCATAGTAGAAATCAGAAAATGCTGTGAGCAACTGAAAGAAGCTTTAGCCTGAAACTCTCCTTCTTTGTTATATTTATTAACTGAAAAAAGGAGAAAGCAGGATTATAACACATTAACCTTGTAGCAAAACTAATATATTGAAAACAGTCATTAGCTACACGCCAACTTTACTTTCTTACAGCAGCTTCAGCTCAAACTGCATTTGAGTAGATAGATTATTATGGGTTTAGAACCCACAGCAGAGACAAGAAATCTTCACTGAGATCCTATGGATATGGAAGGTAAGAGATAAGCAAACCACACCATGAAAGCTGTACCATGGCCCAGCACACCTTAGTTGATGCAGAACATTTCAGATCTTATCAAGACTCCCTCAACTGCACCAGAACACTATTTAAAGTTCAGATAGGAATCTTGCCTTGAAGAAAACAACTTGAAAACAGGAAGTTTGGGAATTCGTTTGGTGAGAAGCTCTGCGCCAAAATCATCGCATCCATACCAAGCTTTATTAGACAGGTGAGAAGATAACAGGCATACTTAATCCTAGAAACTGCATAATAAATTTCTGTGAGACCAACTCCCATCAAAAAAAGTGTCTTCTAGTGAAGAGTAATGTTTCTGGCATGCAACTGGATAGCGGGTACAGGCTTGAATCTTTGGTTTTCCAGGAAATTTGTCCTTAAACCCAGTCTGAATGCCCTGAAATGTAAGCCCTGAAATATAAGCTTTTCAAAATCCTCACATAGATTCTGTACTTCAATCCAGTTTGTAGAGGTGCTACTCACTTCAATGCTTAAAAAAATAAAAATAAATGAAACAAAGCAGCACCAATAGCCAAAGGCATGTGTGACGTGCACATGTGTGTGAGGCTCCACAGACCCAGAATGATAACATGGAGCTTGGCAGACAGGCTGTCAAATCTCCTAAGCTGCAGCACATATCAGGGTGAAGTGACCAGCCTGAACTGACTCAGTGGCTTCTCAGTGCTGAAAGGGGAAACCCCCTCCCCTGCTTCTCCCAGGCAAACCCCTCCTGCTCTCCCTCCGCTCCCCTCTTGCCAGGTCTGACTCTTGTTAGATGGAAGGAGTCAAGATGGGAGAAAACAAATCCAGGAAAAGAAAACAAACAAACAAACAAACAAAAACAGAACAACAACAACAAAACAGAAACAAAAAAAAAGAAAAAAAAAACAGAGTTGAATCATCTCAGTGTGTCAGACCCACTCCCTTTTGAAAGGGAGTGACGGAGCCATCTACACAGTATAAGGGATAATTAGGGAGATGCAAGATCTTGCCCTTTTCGTAATAACAGGCAGTTCGATCGGTCTAATCACCTTGTTCACTTCCATTTTCTGCAGAGGACAAAAAGCCATGGAAGTAACTCACACCAACACAAAAGCAAGACGTACTTCAGCAAGCTAGCAGGGATGCTTCAGACAAGCATCCCAAACACCTCCAAGGGATACTCACCATACCAATGACTTCCCGCAAGGCAAAGTATTTTTCTGTGAGATCCCCTGCTTCGCTCAGTGGAGCATCGTAGTCATAACTAGTGGGCTGTGGCATATAGGGCATGTTAGCACCTAAGAGTGGTAGGAGGGTGAGGAGAAGGAACAGAAAATGTAAAGGAGTTGTTTCTTCCAAAGGGGAAAATTTTCAGATCTCTTTCCAATCACTGCCAGATTTTCAGGCTCTGGGATTTGGGATTAGGCACAGAGAAACTATTTTCTATAGAGGACATAGTCCTTCTAAGATCTCACTGCACTATTATACAGTCTTCACAAAAATTCTGAAGAGAATCAGATTTACCCATGTTTCCAGTGTTTTACAGAACTGGGTGAAGTAAAGGCTGTACTTATTCCTCACCCTTTGCAAAGGCAAATACCACGTGGGTTTAGAACAACTAACACAGTTGTCTCTTGCCATTTGAAAGCATGCATGGCTCATTCTTTTACAGGGACTGGCACACTACTGCCTAACTCATAAGCAGCTCCACTGTATTATTAGAATCACTTATAGAGTTTCTTACCATTCCAATAGCCAAAGTTAGTCCCACCTATAAACATGTACCTGAAAGCAAAACAAAACACAATGCGCTTCAATCAGGTTTGACGTACCAACAAAACACTCCTCCACACCAGAAAAAAAACTAACTTCTACTGAGCACACACTTACAGGTTAACATTAGCACCACGTGCCAGGATTTCATTAAGGGTTTTAGCTATTGTTTGTGTGGGCACAACAGAATGACGGTGCCCCCAGTGATCCAGCCATCCAGTATAAAATTCAGAATTAACCTGAAAGAAGGGCAAAAGAGGAAGGGAAAATATGAAGAGGGAACAAGAATGCAATGTGATTTAGGTTACTAACTGTAAGAGGAAAGGAAAAAAACGCACCTTGACTCATATGAGCCATTTTTAAACTGCTGTAAATACAGCAAGGCATATATGAAATTCAGTCTTTTCCAGCAGACGACCAGTCAAAGAGATTAAAGGATTGGTTCAATAATTTTATATGGGCACTTTAGAATTGGTTCAATAATTTTATATGGACATTTTGAAAATGATTGCGTTAAGTGCCAAAATGAAAGATTTCCTTGGAACTTGCTAACCTGAATATGTTTCAGATACTTGGCATTAAAACAAATGCTAATACCAATATATTATATGCAGAATGACATAGGTGAATTAGATGTAATGAAAAATCAATCACTCAAACATTCTTAAGTTGTGTTCTAAACAATTTCATAGCACAGAGATGGCAAGGGACCCTCTCCCTTTGTCAAAATGGCTTCCAACGATCTCACATCCCATTACCACTTATGTAGAAACTCTGGGGTAGCTAAAAAACAGGAAGCAACTTCTAACCTGCCCTTTTAATTTTGGCTTTTAACTTCCACCCACACACGTACCTCACTAACTCATCTAATCATACTCAGTGTTTCCGCTGCTTTGTAAACATTTGTCTCAGCTAGGAAAAATACTGAAATAAAAATCAATTTCTTCTAAGACTAAATTAATATTTGCAGCACAGCAGTAAGTGTGGCATAGAAAAAAAAAACACACACCACACCACTCCTTGATTCAGCTTCTCTGACTGATTTGGAAATGATGTCCCCATAAACCTGTCCCTAAGGAAGTGTTCAGCACATTGCTGCCAAACCGTCTATTATAAACCACTGTAAGCTTAGGAGTGATACAAGAAATTTAAGCAAAAGGACATACCAAAGGGCCTGAAGGTTCACTGGCTCTTTGAGTTAAGAATGCTGCTGTGACATTGACACCTACAAACAAACAAAAGCGTAACTGAGTTGTAACATCCATGGCTTTTTCCTGTCCTTCCCTTCGCTGAAATATGTGTCTATGTCCATTCCAAGACCTAGCAAAAATCCACTTGAGAATGACATCCTCGCTCCATAAAGTCTGAGAAGTGTCAGAATTACTACAAACCTTGAGAAGTACAGGCCTGCATTTCAGTTGCCAAGACTATAGGAAAGAACTGATGCCAGGCAACCTGCAAATAGGAGTTTCACTTTTGATCCCTCGAGGTGACTTAAGCCTCAGGGACTCTAAATAATAACAACTGCTCAAGAAACGATATACATAAAGGATTTTACAGTTTGAATCTCCTCAAAAAAAAAAAAAGAAGCATTCGTCTTTGACTGTATAGAGAATGTTACAGAAAAGTGACCACAAGTCAAAAATAAAAAATATGAAAACACAACTATCTTGGAGTATGTTTCTTGTGCCTTAAGTTTATTTTGCCAGGCCTATGCAGCAAAAACATGCAGAGCATTAGTTCTCCTCTTTTATCAAATAGGCTCTTTCTGAAAACACTGTTTTGTGCTTAGCCATTCTTCAGGCCTACATTCCTACAAACTGCAGTGATGTACACATTTCCAATGATGGTTTTCAGCATCATTTTTCTCTCCAGTAACCATCAGCTTAAAGAAGTAAACTAGGAGGGCTGGATTCTGGAACAGGCATAGGTCATTAAAAAAAATAACAGCAACAACCAACAGGAAGTGATTATTTCTCTGTAATTGGGTACTTTGGGGTAATTCTTTTATGTTTAGTTATGTGTCAAATAGCCATTTATGTTTATTATCTCATTTAAGTGGTCAAGGAGACCACTTTTCCTGCCACCCACACACATACAATTTATTTTTTTAAGAAGCAAACAGTTATCTCCAACCTGGGGCAAAGTCCACTGTTGCATAAAGTCCCTGAAGGGCTCCACATCTCAAAAACGCCTTGCTTGCACCATCAGTTGTGAACAGCACCACCTCATCTCCAAGATACTGGCGGAAGAGCTTCTGAAGGAAACGCAGGTAGTCGTAGTCGCAAGCGAAGTAGCTTCCATATTCATTCTCTACCTACACGGTAAAAATAATTCATGTAAGCAGTAGCCAGTTTGGATTTGCATCTAAGACTGAAAATGGGTAGCCTAAATCTAGGCTTCCTCTTCCTTTGGTGACAACCATGAAAAAGTCAATTTAACTTCAGACTGAGTAGCAGCAGCAGAAGACAGTACTTCCAGGCCCTCACTAGAGCTATCATAGTCTGGAGATAAGCAATTCTCCTACAAAATCCTTTCAACTTCACATAAAAGTCTCTACCTTTATATTATGTTACTGTTACCCCAGCACCAATAATAAAAACATAGTCTCTATTTAAAAAGAAGAACTATGGCCCAGCTTCTAGCAAACCAGTAAAAAACATAGACCAGGTTGCAAAATCAAAATTGTTATGGAGCTGGCCTTCCAGAACAGATAGACCTATGAGGAAATAAGGATTTACATGAACAGCAAAGTCCTGCAATACACTTAATGGACTGGATAACCCACTACTTGAGATGTCTACTTCCTTTCCCCCTTTCCCAAGGGGCCAACTCTCAGCTCCTGATCCAATGCCAAGCATTTCTCAAGGCAACTTCTGGCAAACCTGTCCCAAATATCCTGTTTTTGCCCAAAAATATTTTAGCCCAATACTTTTAATGAATACAGATAATGCATTGCTCATGAACAATGATCTTGGCTGATCTTTAAGAAGGGTCTCCCATCCTTTGGAAGGCAGGGAATTGCACTTAGCATGCAGCTTTGGATATTGTCAAATGTTAATATGAAAAAGGAATAATCATGACTCTAAAAGGAGTTCAAGAAAGATAATACCCACTATGCATGCTCAGTATCAAATCCTGAAATATCTAAGATCTAAGAAGTTGCATAAGTTTGTTTAATTGCTTTCTACACTAGTAGGAAATAAATTGTATAAACCAGACAAGTGCACTCTAAATTCTGTAGGCAGCAGACAGCTCTCTTGGATGAGGGATCTCATCAGAACCCTTTAGTTACCAGAAACTGCTAAGGAGTGACTGTGTGCATTACCACCAAATGCAAGAAGTGTCAGCAACACCAATATAAGCATCCATGCTGCTTGAGCTCATTGGATTTTCAAAAAATTACCTGCACCATGATGATTGGACCTCCCTTTTGATAGAGGTGACGTCTCATCTTTGGCAAAAGGACACTCATCCATTTACCTACAGCTGCCAGGTAATCTGTGATACACAAAGTGAAAACTGAACAGCTCACAACTTCTCTGTTTTATACTTCTGATTTTTGTTTTAAATTATATATGTGTAGGGGTTTTTTTTCTAACTACATAAAATATATAAGAACAGCATTTAATGAACTGACATGCTCTTATGCTTGCTCATAATTTTCATCTTTCAGTATATGGGTGGAGTCATTAAAAAAAAACACTCAAACATAGTTGAACTTTGAAAATCACCGGAAATCTCAGACAAGTTGTCCTAATGCATTTCGGTGGAAAAACATACTTCAGTGTTGCTATCTGCACTTTTAAAATAATAATAATAACAATAATAAAAACAACAATAATAATTTATTGGATAATGGGATAATTTATCCAATGACCATCAGAATCAAAGACAGATACTATATGAATATATATCTTTGCCCCCTAACCTCCTCTCCAATAATTACATTAATCTTCTGTCTCATTTCACCTGTCCGTGCCATGTCCATGACCAAGTAACACAACAGTGCTGCAACTAGTTCTGGAATTACATGCACAATGACAAGCCAAGAAAGGGTCCTACAATGAGTGGCCACTTGGCTGTTGTCAAACAGAAAATCTCAGAGGTGAAAACTACTTTCCTTTTTCTAGATGATACCAATAACTTGTCTCTCTTGGCACCAACTTTCATGAAACTTGTCATTACCTTTCAAACTTATGGTAAGTTTGAAACCTTGTTGAAATTGGTTGTTGCTGCAGAAATTGTTAAGAAAAGGCCTGGGAAGGGGTCATAATTTGCTCCCCTTTTTATATAAAAAAAAAAAAAGACAACTTCAATCATTTCCTTAGAAAATGAATGGCTAAAAAGATCCACTAGCTCTAGGAATAACATCCACAACAGCCTGAAGGACTCAGTCCTACAATTCTCTAATCACAGAAATTGTATCATTTGTTACTGGGTTGTTTCCATACACTTCTTCAATGCATACATTTTAAGAATATTGAAGTTTTTACTCACGAAATAACTTAAACTGAGATATGAACTCCCTGAACCTAGTGTCACATGTCAAGTCCTCCTGCTGTTAAAACAAGCCATTACTAGCCCTTTTGACGTCCTTACCTAAATCAGAAGACCTGAGAACAATAGATTCCTTCTCCAGCAGCCATGCAGGCAAACCACCCTGGGAAAAGAAAGGAAAATACTTCAGTGATCTATTTACTGGAAATGAAAAAAAAATTATCCAGTTACTAACGTACTGAGACTGAATTAAAAAAAAAACGTGCAACAACAAAAAATAAGGCAAGCAGTAATTCCCATTGAAAAGTAAGTAAACACAGAGTAAGCTTGTGCTTTAAAATGTCACTGGGGATGCTTAACAAGGAGCCTTTTCCAAGAAAACACCAAGCATATTTTCCTACTTTAGGAAGAAAAGAGCTGCATTAGATTGAGAAATGAGAGAGCTTTCAGAAAGAGCTGTACCATGTCCCATTCTGCACAGATGTAAGGTCCCGCTCTCAGGATCACCAACAAGCCAGTTTCATGAGCAAGCTGCAGGAAATACTCTAGATCTCTGTCACCAGAGAAATCATAAACGCCCGGTTTTGGTTCATGATAGTTCCATGGCACATACCTATAAAGAGAGAAAATTGCCTTTCATTAGGAAATTTAGAGTAAGCCAGAACTTCAATTAACAAGTATTTGCACTACACTCCTAAGGATATGTAAAGATGAACTTGCATTCGAATTAGTAAAATACAAGAATAATTCTGGAGGCTTTCATCTGTGATTTACTTCCGATGACTAAAGAGTGTTGAAAATCAATTCTAAAGTAAGGGCTAGTACTGCAGGTTATGTGTGTGGGAATCCTTATCAATCCAGGAACAAGTTTGACAAAAGAGTGTTAAAAATCAATTCTAAAGTAAGGGCTGGTACTTCAGGTTATATTTGTGGGAATCCTTATCAACCCAGGAACAAGTTCTGGTCTTGTTATTTTAAAACACTGATAGTTGTAAGGGTACCAATGGGCAATTTGTGAAGAGATGAACACTGAAAACCACCCATGCAAGATAAGGTCAAGAACTTGCTTCCCAGAAACAGCAAACACCTGCCAAGAACAGACCGCCCCAGCTTGCACAGGGCGCACCACCTGGGCTGGCAAGTCCATGCTGCAGCCACCACAAAGATGCTAAAAATATCTAAGCCTCAGAAGATTTTACATCCAGGTCCTGAAAATCCTCTGTGACCAGAAGCAAAACAGGTTCTGAAAAAAAATAAATCGCATAGGAAGCATGGTTGTGGTATGCTAAGGTGTCTAGAAGCCTGGACAAATTAGTGCCTCATTTCAACCAAGTAATGGAAACGTCAAGCCAGCAAAACTATTTGATAAAGTACCCCTCTTCTTCCAAAGCTTTGCAAACCACAACCTGACCACAGAATATCTCATAGATTATACAAATTACACTTGATGGCAAGATAAGAAACACATATAAGAAATTCTACATACTGTGTTACAGCTTACACCCTTGTACAAGAAGCATGAGAGTTTTGGCTTGTGAGAGTATTAGGTAGGATGTTAAATTCCAGATCGGTAGAGCCTGAGCAAGGATTCAAGATAAAAGGAAAACTTATTTCCTATGCATTTATTTATTTATTTATTTTCAAATAATGCTTGTGCTCTAAGAGAACTGCTGCCACTGTTCCAGACTATAAATTCTGCACTAATTTGTAAAACAAAACTGTGATTAATCAACCAAAGAGCCTCTCAGACAAAACTTTTTGTTTTTACATTCAAGAGTTAGTTTTGTAAAAACTACTCAAGGTGGGGTAGGGAGTGCAAAAAAAAAATGTTTTCAATAGGCAAGAAAAACAGGAACCTTTACATGAGCACACTACTGAAACGGCCACACTCAGAAACATGAATGCATGAACATCCAATGCAAGAATGACAATCCTTCAGCAACTTTAATAATATGCTAATATTTATTTCCTCCCAAATGTCCAAACTGTAAACCTCTGTTTGAAAAGATGATGTTTAGAATCTCAATAGCCAGATGGAATTTAAGCAATGCGTTCAGAAGTCAAAATGCAGATTTTCCCTTTATCAATCTCCTCTAAGTGTTCTAAAAACAGTGCATTTATTGAAGTTCTTTGGAAACAAAGTTCTTTGGAAACAAAGTAATTGAGAACTTAATGATGTTGAGACACGCATAAGTACATTCAACATTTATTTAGTTTTCTAAACTACTTTGCCTACTTGTCAATTGGCAGAGCAAGTTGATGGCCAATACTTAAGATCATAGTAGACATTTGTCTACTTCTGAATATTTATTTAGAACAAAATAAATAACCAATTAAATCAAAGAAACCAGTACTAAAGAGTACCATGAAGAAAAAAAAACAAAAGCATCTACTACTCCCAAATTTGAAACAGCCCATGTACAAGAAGAATATCAATATTATTGTTTTTATTACAATTAGTACATCACCATAGAGATGGTTTTCACTTTCTAAATTATGTCACTTCTTACTGAGACAATAGATTGAGAAAATAGCTGTGGAAACAGTGGCATCCAACTTTTGACACATTAAACCTGTTTTGTGGCTGCTTTTCCCATTCCTTCTGCCATTATCCAGGTGATCACTATAATCTTATTTTGCTGTAAGCCATAAAATCTATGTTATTTTCAAAATTATTACCTAGACTTTTATACCTATATATATATATACACACATATATACATATATATATGTGACTGAAGATAGTATCAGTCTTCAAAAATAAAAATAAAACATGGGAGAAGGTATTCCAGAGAATTACATGCCAAACAGCTGAAATCCAAACCTAAAAAAGATGGTAGAAAAGCTACAGAACAATTAATGTGTAAAAACATACATGAGGTGAAAAACCTCAGTGATGTGAAAAATAAAACAACAATTGGTGTTTGTCAGGAAGATACAGATCTAACTCCATTCTTTCACAGAAAAACAAGCTTAAAGAATTAGGGCAAGGTAAGTCCCTCAACA